GTGTAAATAAGTTGAAACCTACTGAATTGGCCTGCACCATGTAGAACTGCACATGCACCTCAAATTGTGGTGGTGGTTTCCTTCTATCCCTATCCTCTTTAGTTTTTGACTCCAAAGTTTAGTTCCAATTTCAGCTCTCATAGTTGAATGTGTTTAGTGCTACTCAAAGCTGACAGCCAGAAGGGTGGAATCATAGGAACCTGGCCATGTTCAGCAGCAATTTTCAACCGCATCTGCTTTGCCACCAGCAACTGATGAGAAAGGACATCATTTTCATCTGGTAGCTTGGCAAAAGTTTCTTCTGAAACAATTTTTAGCTGCAGGTAATTACTATCAGTTTAAGTTACTAGTCTGCCAAGGAATGAAGTCTCAGTAGAGTTCAAGTTTTTGTTCTTGATGAAAAGACTTATCTGGCAAGGACTGTTCATGCCTACATGTGCAGGGGAAGCTATGGAAGGCTTTACATTCCAAAAATACACTGGCTTGGTTAAACATAGTCATACATATATTTAACAAATTTATATTTCCCTGAGCAGTAATCTCGGTTTAAAAACAGCAGTAGTGTCATTAAAAGGAATTGAATTGCAAACATGACAAACATTATCAGCTTGGATACAACAAAACTGCTGTGATAGGTGTTTTTTGGGAGCACCTTGGGAGTATGTGTCGACACGGTATATGGATTTCTTGGAGCAATACTTCCCTCTCATTATTGTATCCAATACATGCTGATGCTTGTTTTTGATAAACTTCTACAACACTTCTGTATTTTTAACTATAACTGGGAACTGAATTTTAGAATTTATTTAACTTGACACTTATTAAGGGTTATAAGGATAGACTTCCAAATTACATATTTCCATATCCAAACTTTAAACATCATTGGCCATTTATATGGATCTATACCTTTCTTATGCTGCTGTGACTTAAACTGTGACTTAACTCTTATGTTAGTAGTGCTTTAAGGAAGTTTATCCCCTGAAGCTGTTGCTTTCAATGAAAAAAAAGACATATTCATAGTGTCAGCCTGAAAATTTATAATGAACTTGCTACGTAAAGAGGCTTTTTTCAGCTCTAAAATAAAAGCTGTACTTTCGTATTCATTGGGAAAGCTGTCATTTGCCAAGGTGCTATTGAAGCTCTAGGAGGACCTCATGTAGACTGACAGAGTTGCTAAATCCTTCTTGTCATTTGGTTATTCTGCTTTCTAATGTTCTTTCTCCCAGCTGCCACTGCTAACTGGCTAACTCTCTTTTGATCTTTATTTTTCTATGCAAGTCAAAGTACAAACAGGCTTAAGAGTATTTGCTGCCCTCAATGAGCACGCAGCAATTGAAATGTAAGCTAAGGTGACTGTTTCTGACTTCCATCCAACAACTGGGAGCTGGAAAAAGCTCTTTTGTAAACTGGTTTTCTGAACCAGTTGGTTCTTCCCAGTTATTTAAAAATGAGAAACTTGAAACCAGGAAATCAACATTGTCTTCTCCATCCACCAATGCCTCCCTATGGTGCAGGGAACTGACTCCTCAGGAAAGGATGAAGAGGAAACTGATAGGGAAACGCTGCAGTGAAAATGATTTTGACTTCTGTGGTGATGCAACTTTTTTTGTTTTTGCATTTCCTTATCCTGCTTTGCTAGTCTCCTTCCCTTTTCTTGTAAGGGAAACTTTTCCCATCAAGCTGTGGTCAAGTCCCACTGTGTGGTGATGGACTTTAGAAAGCTCTGGCAGCTGCTTTTGTGAGCTGATTAAAATGCCTGGATTTTCTGCCTAGGTTCCTACAGTTAAAGCAGCTTTGTGTTTCACTCCAGAAGTTGAAATGAGACTCTCTTAGGGTATTTCTTTTCATTCCACATTAGAACGTGACCAGGGACTTTCAAATTTTAGCATGAAATGGATTTAGTGGTCTTGGTTTGATCTGTATTATTCAAGTAACTGAACTTTAAAAAGATTGTACCATCGTTTTGATGCTCTTATTCTGCTATTTTTGATTCCTTTCTTCTGTGCTTTTTACCTAACCCTCAGAACTTGGATTCTGTTCTGTCCTATCTAGATTTTCATCTCATATCTCACTGGCAGTACTTGACATGGTATGAATGAGTGTGACATTATTAGACTGTGAGTGTGGAGGACTGATTGATTTATTTTTGTTTTTTTTTGTTTTTTTTTTTTTTTTTGGCCCTTTTTTTTTCCCCTTTTTGCCCCACCCCACAATCTTTTGTCTTGGACACAAAACAAGTGGTTCTTCTGATGTGTTTTTTACCTGGATATTGTACACTAGAAATTGCTTTGCTGGACAGCAAGGCAGTGGGTTTTGTCCTCATCCTGAAAGGTTTTGGAGCTTAGTCTTATTCTGAATAAGAACACATTAATACATTAGAAATATGTACAATGTATTTGAATGATGTACCTAGAAAACAAAAGCACATTTTTGGCATTGTAATTCCATGGTCCTGAAAAGCCCAAAATATTGGCCACTTGCCATCTTGGTATCTTGTCTTGCTTTTCCCCTTCATCGAAGTTGCCCTGTGTGCCTAGTGTTTATAACTTCTGCTGTGTTGTTTGTTAGTGACTTCCCTTTGCTATCTGAATTCAATGCAAAAGTGTTTTTCTGTCATCAAGGCTCTCCATGCATTAGAATATGGTTGTTTGCTGTTTCCTATTGCTTCTTAATGAACAGCTATTTTACCAGTTGGCACACTTCACTTATCCTTGTTCCTATATGTATGCTGGTATGCTACAGTTTCTGGTGCCAGTCTGCCCTTTTTTGGTTTATTCCTGACAAAGCATTTTTAAGGTCTTCAAGTATGCGTCTACATACATATGTCAGCCAAGAACCTACACACCCTCATAAAACTTATTTTTTATATCTTGAATTTATTTGGAAAATCCCAGTGTCTTGTCCTCATCTATAGAGCTAGAGCTTCATTTCAAATGTGCAGGGTTTGACATGCTGAACAAATACTGACCTAATAAAAAAAGCATCCTGGTCTTCACTGTTAAATAACTACCTACTATTCCATATTCTACAATCCCTGAAGAACAGAAGAAAGGTGGTGTATGGTAGAATATGGATCCCAGTATGTAGGACCCTTTAAGTTTCTGCTATGTATTTTTAATATCTAGGAGTATCTGATGAAATAATGCAAGTTATTAATTTTTTTTGCCCTCTGTATAAAACACTCTCAATGTAGCTACTACTGCAATTAAAAAAAAATCATTAAAGAATGTGGAATGGCATAAGCTCATCTTATTCAAAAAGGTAGTGTTGGAAAAAGAAGCCTTATGGCCCTACATAAGGATCTGGATACTACAAAGCTCTCAATTTTCCAGCTGTTCAGCAAGAAAAAAATACAAAACTTCTGGGAGATTGGAAATAGTATTTGTAATCTTCTCTGCTTGTTCTTGAATGGGCCTATTAAAATTTGTTACTCAGTATCATAACAATTATATTGATGCAGTTGGTATTTCATGGCTTGGTTTGAATAGCATGTGGAGAAATCTTTCAGAAGAAAACAGGTCATGACTTCGCAACAATACTTTGCAAATGAAAATTGGCATGAAGTGCCTAAAACAGGCACAGAGTCTCCTTAGACTCCTGAGATAAGGGTATACTGATCTCAGTTGGGGGGTTAAGGCACAGAAATGATTTGGAATATTTCACATTTGAATTAAACTTGTATAAAACTTACTTGGTCACTAAAAGTCCAAAGTCAAACTTCTCAGAAAAAAATTGCTTCTCAATAGCACAGACCAACAAGCTTCTCTTTGCATCTTTGTGCATCATCTTTGATCCTGCATTCTTGCCATATTAGGATTGAGGCTGAGTCCCGTGCGCACTTTCCCTTTCCTTCCTGTGTCTTGATGGTTGGTGGGAGCCTTGAGGAGGCTTCCTTATCCGGAGCCTCACAGGACAGCTCTTCCATATGGATTCTTGAAACAAAGCCAGTCTGAACTAGGAGATCATTGTAGAAATTGCCAACAGATTAGTTGAATTTGTAGAGTGGGTATGAAGTCTGGTTAAACAGACACTTAATTTTTTTTTTAGCGGTTGATTGATTCCAAACAAACAAACAAAAAAAAGAGCTGTACCATCTGGTCCTTGGACAACAGAGAAGCATTAGACATTATTAAAAATGTGTTCGTTTCTTTGTTCCAAATTCCAGAGAAAAGTAGTTTTATAAATCGCAGAATATTTAAGGTTGGAAGAGACCTCCGGAGATAGCCTTTTCCAACCTCCAGATTTTTTTCTTTAAAAAATTGCTATACCTCTTCTGCGAAAAACTTATCTAAATATCTACATAAGTTAAAAAGTGTCTCAATAATGCTTATTATGTTGAGATGATAACCAGTTTTATAACCACTTCCAAATGGAAAGCAGTAGAGAGTGATCTATGTATTTATTTTTTGCTACATCAATCATACTTAAGAAACTTCCTCTAGTAAATATTGGAAACCCTTTTTATCCTGCTGGAACAGAGTATTAGTTTTGTAACTACATAATGGAGAAACTGCAGAGCTGTGCAGAGGGCGAGTGTTACATACAGTGAGACATGTCACTGCTTTGAAATAGGATTTTACTCTGAACTGTGGTAAAACTGGAAAAAATCTTGAGTTAGTATACTGAGAGACAATTCAAAGCTTTTTGAACCTTTAAAAGTTGCTGTGAACCAAAGCCATTTCGGACAATGTTTTAAGTTACTCTTGAAAATGTCTGTGTTTTTTTTTTTTGTTGTTTACTTGGTTTTCAAAGTTGTTGGAATTGGCTTCTCATTCCAACTTTCACATGTGAAAGTAATTGAAACTATATGCCTCAAGATTTCTCAATAACTTCTTCATCTTTTAGAAAAGTAATGTTTTCTGTGAATATCAATAGCATTGAAGTTGAGCCAAAGGTACAGTTCTTGATACAATATTGAATCCAATGTCAATATATTGACGTTATGGATCCTCTTCTCCAGGATTTGAAGATCCTTATTGCTCTATCTTATTTTGTTCCAGCTATTTATGAACTCTCATGTGAAGCGTACAAACACTTGGGCAAAACTTCAAATAACTACTGGATAGATCCAGATGGAAGCGGGGCACTGGGACCTTTGAAAGTTTACTGCAACATGACAGGTAACTGCATGGTATTCACTAATTGGATTTAATTTCTTCATTGTAGCTGTGATGGAGGGGGGGCAGGTCTGTTTAAAAATCCGTATTTTTGGCAAAAGAAAAACAGTTGCCAAATGTTATTAATGAGTAATTAATACTGTCCCTGCTGAGTGTAGCCTGGGAAAGGCAGGTGTTGATCTATTTCATATTTTTTTTAAAAAAAAACCATTAACATTAACAAATTTTTAACATTAAAAGGCCTTTGAATCCACAGTGGGGCATCAAAAAATATGGCCAGTCACCAAAACTCTTCTATTTACATGTATTTATAGAAAACTAGTTTAGTGATATCTGGTTCATGAAGTACTTCAGAAGTCAGTCTTCTAGGAATGTCATAATTTTGTTTCTGTCCATTACTAGCTTTTCCATACTGACCTCAGTAGGCAAAAAATAATAAAAATGATTCATGAGCAAAATTTATTTATTTTTATTCATCTGTTTTCTCATTTTTATTTTAACTGGGGTTGGAACGATTTATCATGCTCAACTTCTGAAAGAGTATATAGAACTGCAATAAATTATTTTGATTTCTTTTTAATTTAATCTGCTTTTAACACTATTTTTGCGTGGGTAATTTTCCATCTGGACATTCTCACGAAACGTGCCCTGTCTTAATCATTAATGTTGCCATCCTAAAGTAGAAAAATGTTGATTGAGAGAAAGTAGATGATAAAGCAGATGATAAAAAAGACTAAGGTTTCCTGAATCCCTCAGTTGGACTGTATTTTGGACTGTTAGTACATGACCCAGTCACTTCATTTTTTCTTCATACGTATGTATTAGGGAGCTGATTCAAGAGATGTCTTTTGACTTTCCTAAAATGTCTGCATTATACGTTAAGGAGTTGCATTAGAAACCAGGCACATGCCTGATTAATCTGACGTCAGGGTCTGCGACAAGAAGGTGCTATGGCAGGCTGAAACAATTCTGCTTCTGTAGAGATCACAGTGCCTGAATCCTATAGAACATTCCCTGGACACAGAGACCTATGTGTTTTGTTTGTTTGTTTTGCAGCTGGGTGTGGGCTTTGTGTTTTATCTGACTTGGCTGGGATTAATTTAGACCCCCAAAATGCCCGAAGGGTGCCCAGGGAGCAGACCCCAGAGCAAGTGCTCCGAGGCTGATGGCTCCTGGGAGAACAGTTCTGTGCCTGAATGTAGCTCTGGAAATGGAGCCTGATCTGAGCTCTGGGAGCTACCCCAATTTTTCCTGGACCGGAAAGGCAGGCGAGCAATCTGTACTGAGGCACAGGTCTATAGGCAATCTTTCACATAAGTGGATCCTTACCCATTTAGGGCTTTTTAAATCATAACCAGCACCTTGAACTGTATCAGTAACTAATCAGGCAGGCACTTCAGGGAACAATGCCAGGAATTTGTGATATATTACAGTGGTTTTTGCTATTCAAAAGAACTGCTGTGTTCAGCACTAGCTATAGCTTTTAGGCAGTCTTCAAGGGTAACTTGTAAAGTAAAAATATACTGCAGTAATGGTGTTAGGCATGAAAAAGTGCACCTCTACAGGACCAGGGCATCAGTCATTCATTCTAAAACTAAATACACAGCAGAATGTCTAAGTAGTTTGTCCAAAACTGGAAAATAAACACTTAAGAAAACTAAAAGGAGTGATTTTTCTCTTTCTAATATTTTTCTGCAACACAGTTTCTTGAATAGGTATGTACATAACTTTGCTGGCCAGTGTAAGAAAATCATGAATGGTAAGGCAGATGACTTATTACTCATTCTCTTCTGTGGTAGATCATATTTCATGTGATATTGCAGGTAGATCTGGAGATTATTTCCAAATAAAGTTTTAATGGTATCACTGTTGTTGTCAACCTCCTATTAACAAAAAAAAAAAAAAAAAAAAAGACATCTTACCTTAATATGAATATAATTCTCTACTTAAGAATCTGCTAGAACTATTTCTTCATTGAAATGCAAATGACTGCAAGAGTGTGTGAAAATTGACAAGAAGCAATTTTAATGTCCACTTCCAAAAGTGGAATGCCACTCTGACAGTTGTTATTCTCCCATTGTTTAGCAAAATATTATTTATAACACATCACCTATATATCTGTGAGTATAATCGGAGTGTAAGTATCTGTACACTCCAATTATTACAGCATTTATCTTCTAATTACCAGTCATCTTAGATGCCGAAGACTTTGGGGGGAAAAGAAAAGAATATTTTTCAGTAGAAAATTCACAACATCTTAAACCCTACTCTGAACTGATGTAAAATAGTATCAGTAATGTAGGAACTAGGAAAGAGAGAATGGAGTTTTACCTCGATTTCTTGAACAGTTTGTTTCCCAAGCACTCTGTAGCATTGCTATATCTCATAATATGACAAAAGGTACTATAACACATTGAAATAGAAACAGAATTATCAAATAGTTGTAGTATCAAAAATGTGCGGTTTTATGGCCTTAATAAAAGGCCATAAATATGGCCTAAATTCATTGAGAAGGAATTTAACTGAATTAATGTTTTAATGGAAATGTAGCAAAATAACCTACGGACCTAGCTACAGTGAATACAATGCAGAGGACAAAAAGCTCTTGGTCCCTGCATATGGCAGGATAATCCTTCTCTTTTAATGGAGGTATCCTTAGCTATTGACAACTGCACTTTATTTTTTGAGAATCCAATCTGAATGTTCACCTGGATGCACTACTCTCTTAAATAAGCACCACTTCAGCTGCTAATAGCTGTTTTAAAGATTCCTTGCTTCATTCAGGTAGAACTGGCAAGGAAGAGCATTTTAGTGGCTGAAAGAGTAGTCAACTTACTAGTTTGGCTACTGGAGGGAAGTCCACAAGAAGGTGGGATTTATTAGCAAAGAAGGTACTGGTTTTTCTGAAGACAAGATGGCTTTTCAGTTATGTCCTTGTAGCACACTTATTCCAGCATAGTGTTACCTCCTGGACCCGGAGGATAAGCTGCATGCTTATTTTTCCACAAATCTTTGGGAGGAGGGCTAATATCCTAAAAAGCAGTGGAATTGTTTTTGGAAACTGAATCTCTGCCTCTTAAGTACAGTGTCACAAATTTCCTGGATTGACCGTTATGTCATCCTTTTATTTGCAGATTCTGTAGCCTACATGTGTTGGTGATTCTCAGAGTGTTAATAGTCTCCTTTTTGAAAGCTGGAGAGAAAA